CGAGGGGCCGGCCGGCGCGGAGAGCGGCTGTGCCGGGGGCCACGTCTGCTCCGCCCGGCGAAACGCCTCCGCGGTTCGGAGCAGCATCCGAGGAGCGGGGCCGGCTTCGTGCCTGCTCTTTTTTTCCAGGGACGGAGCGAGCCCTGCGTGGGCCGCCCGGCGTCCCGGCGGGTGTTGCTCCCGCGGGGTTGGGCTCTGGGAAGCGGGACAGCACCGCCCCGAGGTCATCCGGCGGGGAGGTGCCGCCAGCGGGGTCCCTGGGACCGCGGCACCCCTCCCGGCCTCGCCGCACGCAGCCGTACTTCTGTGGGGACCTCAAGCACTGAAATGAACACGCCACCACCGAAGGGTCTGTGTTTTCAGACGTACAGACCGCTGCCATTAGTGAAAGAGGGAGGGTGCATACATGAAGACCGCAATTTTAACATCTCTTAGGTTTTCCACTGGGGTTTGTTCCAATTTCCGTGGGTGCAGTTTGACCGTTTGAGAAAGCAGGGGTTTAATCCAGTGCTTTTATCTATTTTATTTCCTTCAAGACACATTTTCATCCCTTGTTGTCGTCTGCTGATTCCAGAGTTTTTGTTTGTTTCGAGGATTTGACTTGATTCTGTTGCCAGATTTAAAGAAAGAAGGACGAGGAGGGAAAGAACAAAGAAAGGGATAACAGAAAACACATTTAGAGGACAAGTTAAAACGTATTTGTGGAAGTGGAGATATGCTGTACCTCTTCGTTTGAATCCTGGGTCTCTGTATAAGGAACTTTAAAATCGTGTTTGTGAGGGTGACGTTTTCGCAGATCACTCGAGGACAAATCACTGTGGAAGCAACTGTGATCCTGCTGGACGATAAACATGCCAGGCAGAAATTCAGACCCAGATGTGTATTTTAGTTTGTGTGGTATGGTACGCAAGCCTTTTGCAAAATCCCAAGAAACTTTATTTCCCCTTCAAATTCCCATTGCCCGAGAAGTTATTTGGGTTGGGGGGGGTTGGCTGGTTGGTTGGTGGGTGGGGTTTTGGGGGGTTGTCTGTTTTTTTACTATCAGGTGATAAAAGTGCTGGTAGTTCGGCAGGAGCAACTTCATAAAGGATAGAGCAGAGAAACCCAAGAAAAGTCTGTGATCTTGACATAAGCTCGAAGAGTCGGACAGGGCAGGAGCAGAAACAGAGGACGTTCGATCCGTCTGCAGAGACTGAGAGATTCCCTCCATAATAATAAAGAACGTTGTCCAATGTCAATTTTTTTTATCGGTATTGCCCCTTTTTACCTTTTACCAGCCCGTGTAGATTCCTCCTCCCCTGTTCTTTGCGAGAAAACAGGTTACTGGGCAAGAAGTCGGTAATGAGATACCCGCTATTTATTATTGCTGCTCCTGGATGCCTGGAGCCTTCCAAGGGAGCCTTCTGGCCTGGAGGCTTTCTACAGTAAAGATATAAAATGGTTCCAGTGACTCACCTGATGTTTGCCAAGTGGAGGTTAATATCGGCGGATCCGCATTCAAGCCTCTGTCCGCATTTATTGGGTGCCTCTAGTGTTATGTCTCAGCGCGGTGACTCACATGGTTTCTAAACGTAAGGCACCAGAAAAGAACTATCACCATCAGCAACCTACATAGGACGGCAGCCCCGTTTGAAGGGCTAGGTTTAGCCCG